GAGTTAAAAGAAAAATACTAGTTGAGTTGTGGGTGCATACAAACTTTTCGAAATCTGATAAAAGCTATCTTACCTTTTCAAAAATATATTGATAGATAGATAGATACCTTGAGTTGTCGAGCAAGTGTTTCCATCAAGTATTCGACAAAAGTTTATCATTATAATTCCAAGAATCACTGTAAACAGGCATCAAGTAGTTGTTGATGAAGTCATTACTCCCTAAGGCAACCACATATCGAGCTTCTTGAAAGAATTTATCAGCTGCTTCTTTCCAATCTTGGCCTTGATCAGTTTTTGTGTCCCTTGGAATAACTCAATTTGTTTGTATAGACAAAATCTTTGAATCTGCAAAATAAATTACCTCATGAATTTTTCTCTTTTTAACCTTAGGATAAAAAAGTTTTTTGCATGATCAATATCTGGAATGTAATTATAATCGATTGATTGCAAAAAGGATGAGGAAACTTACGAAGTAACCTCCAGTTTCATTCAAAATCCCACCACCTCCAGAGGCATAATTCACACCATTTTCCAATATTACATCTTCTGTAAGAGATGGATCAAGAAATGCTGGTGGCCTTGGAAGTCCAGTGTTGTCACCTGACATAATTATCACCATGCCAGTTAAAATTAGCCAAGTTATTACAACTCTAAAACATATATTTAGCCCATAAAAGAATTTATAGACCTTACCGATTATATCAGCAACAGTGCGACCATTAGTGAATCTGCCATTAGGCAATCCATTGCCAAAATCAATACCATAATAAGGAAGATTAGCTTGAGCAAGGCTCCGGCGGAGGTACCAGTTGTTACCCACATCGGAAAGCGAGTCTCCGAAAATGAACTGCACAATCTTGCAATGGCAACCATTGAAGCCAGCTGCATAAAGAGTCACAGTAAATAATAATAGACTGAGAGCTCCACTAGGGTTCATGTCACGTATGATGAGCTCCACGATTCTTTCTTTTTCTGAGTTCAAAGTTGATGAAGTGAAACAAACGACTTTCTTTTGGATTTAAACTCATTTATGTCAAACAATTGACGAAGGAAGACCTGGATTAGTGTCTGGAAATTAAGGTAATAGACTATCGTTTGATCAACCAACTATTATATATTCAAACCTACTTCCACCTACCTTGTTAGGATCCTTCTTGTTTTTCTTTTCTTTTCTTTTTTTTCAGCTAATTTTTAGTCAGTTTTCGTAAAATCAAGATTGAAGTTAGAATATTTCGAGTTAATACTCAGTGTAATAAGATTATGTTCTTTAGTCTAATTAAAAACGAAATATTTCTAAGTTATTTTTTATGTACTAAGATTATATCTATTTTTATTCCCACCAAACTATACATACAAAGATTAAGAATGGAGTAATGGGGTAAGAGTTAAAATTATGGAGGAGGAAGTGGGTGAAGATTGGTTTTTGTGAATTGTTATGGTGAGTTTACCTAACACTCTGGTTTTTCTTGAGAACATAACTTGTTGGGTTTTCTCTTTTAAGTTGTTGTGCTACTAAATAAAATATCTCAACAATCAAGAACTGAAATTTTGAAAATTAAAATTAAAATTATATATATATATATATATATATATATATATAAGAATTAGATTAACCCACTGTGGACATTTATATACAATTTTACCTATTCGTTTACCCATTTCCCTTCCCAAGCCTACTAGCCCAATTGACAATGTTAAGCATCAGATTTTAGTTAAAATTTTTAAGCCCAAGATAGATAGATAAGGCCCAAATAGTTTGTCTGGCTCATTTTTTATCTATATATAAAAGACAAAAAAAACATGATCATAGTTTATGAATATACTATTTGCCTTAATTTTTTAATTAAATACAATAATTATTATTATGAAAAAGCTGTCAAATTAATTTATAATTTCTATAATTTTATTTTATTTATTTCAAACCTTGAGTTTTTTTTTTCTATTTTCTAATTAAAAAATTTAAAATGGTTAGATTGTATTTTGATACATGAAAAAACAGTTCAAAAAAATAATTTTGATTAATTACTTCAATTAATAAAAACAAATATATATATATAATGTTATTACTAATTTATTAATTTAATTCATTAGTAAAAAATATTCTTTTAAATTATTTTTTGAAGAAACGAAATATAGTTGAATATTTAAAACTCTTTTTCATTAAAGAACCAAAGAAAATTAAAATTTTGAGACAAATATAAAATATTATTGATCAAATTATAATTAAAAAAATATATAAATATTAAGTTTAAACGTAAAGTTTGTCTGAAAACTCTTACCGAATAAAATCAAATATCAGACGCTGGAAGATATTGCACGTGCAGTGTCTGCACTTGCATGTAGTAAGGTGACGTGGCTTAAAGTACATTAACAAGTCAATGACGTGTCAAAATCTGAACCACCCACCATAAATACATCCCACATACTGCCAAAATACCTGCACTACAAATCTCATCTCATTATCCAAATCCGATCCTCACCCTTCATTTCCTTAATCCAACGCTCCATAATCATCCTGAATCTCAAACCATATCCCAATTTATTACTAAAAAAATCACTTCATTCTCATAAACCCTTCTCTTCCTGCACCACTATTCACAGATACTCCCACTCTCTCCACTCCAATGGCGTCCATTTCGCTCAAATCCTTCACCGGACTCCGCCAGTCCACCGGAGAACAAACCCATTTCGTTACCCAAACAGCGCGCATCTCGCGCCCACTTCCCCGGCGTCTCACAGTCATCGCCGGGAAGAATAGCCCCAAGTTGACTAACCGGAATCTCCGTGTGGCGGTAATCGGAGGTGGACCGGCGGGAGGAGCGGCGGCTGAGACGCTTGCCAAGGGAGGAGTGGAGACGGTTCTAATCGAGCGGAAACTCGACAACTGTAAACCCTGCGGCGGTGCGATCCCGCTCTGCATGGTGGGGGAATTCGACCTGCCGCTGGATATAATCGACCGGCGAGTGACTAAGATGAAAATGATATCACCTTCGAATATTGCGGTAGACATCGGACAGACCTTGAAGCCCCACGAGTATATCGGAATGGTGAGGAGGGAAGTGCTGGATTCCTATCTTAGGGATCGAGCAGCTCAAAGCGGTGCCAAGGTCATCAATGGCCTGTTTTTGCAGATGGATATGCCGAGAAGCTGGGACGAGCCGTATGTCCTGCATTTCACCGAGTACGACGGGAAGAAAGGTAGCGTGGGCGAGAAGCAGACTCTTGAGGTGGATGCGGTTATTGGAGCCGATGGAGCTAATTCCAGAGTGGCTAAATCTATCAATGCCGGTGATTATGATTATGCCATTGCCTTTCAGGTCCCTTCTCCTACTACACTTAAATTACTTGATGGGTTAGTTCTAATACATGCATATATATGTTTGAAGTGCTTCAAGATTGGATGAATTGTGGGAATGCAAGTTCTTGTGATGAATTGGGATTGACTAACAGCAAGTGGGTCTTTGTTTTCCGGGAAAATTGTTGTAGTAATTTGGCTGAAGAAGATTTGTTTAATGGTGTTATTGTGTGCTTGAGCTAAAAGATGATTACCCTTGTCTTCAACTTTTCAGATATGTTTTGGGGGTTTTGTTACAGAAATTTGCAGACTCATCTTAATTTGTATTTGTAGTGATTATATGTATTGAGTCCCTTGTGCTTTACATGGTTGCAGGAAAGGATCCGAATCCCTGATGATAAGATGGTGTACTACGAGAATCTTGCAGAGATGTATGTTGGGGATGATGTTTCCCCTGATTTTTATGGATGGGTTTTCCCCAAATGTGATCATGTAGCCGTAGGAACTGGAACAGTCACTCACAAGGGGGACATCAAGAAGTTCCAATCAGCAACAAGAAACCGAGCAAAAGACAAGATTCTTGGTGGCAAGATCATTCGGGTTGAAGCACACCCAATTCCAGAACACCCTCGTCCACGAAGGTTATCAGGGAGAGTGGCATTGGTTGGAGATGCAGCTGGTTATGTCACAAAATGCTCAGGGGAAGGTATCTATTTTGCAGCGAAGAGTGGGAGGATGTGTGCAGAGGCAATAGTGGAAGGTTCGGAGAATGGGAAGAAGATGATCAATGAAAATGATTTGAGAAAGTACTTGGAGAAATGGGACAAGACTTACTGGCCAACTTACAAGGTGTTGGATGTGTTGCAGAAGGTGTTTTATAGATCGAATCCAGCAAGGGAAGCATTCGTGGAGATGTGCGCAGATGAGTACGTGCAGAAAATGACATTTGATAGTTATTTGTACAAGAGAGTGGTACCTGGGAATCCATTGGAGGATTTGAAGTTGGCTGTGAATACAATTGGGAGCTTGGTGAGAGCTAATGCACTTCGGAAGGAGATGGAGAAGCTTAGCATATGAGTGAAATTAGTGAAAGCTTTGAATATACTAAATTTGCAAGATTTTATATTATATTATGAGTACAGTAAGCTAAAAACCAATTGTGATGTTGGAATCTGTTTGTATTTTCTGTCAATCTAGCTACTGATTCAGTTCTTTATTCTCCATTGTTACTCCATCTTTCTCCTTCTTGTATCAGCAAAACCTTATTTCTATAATTGATGAGAGCACTAGGTTAGCCCGAGGGAGATTTTTTTACATAATTAAAAGCGAAAAGCACTTTTTAAGATCATATTGTATTGACAGAAAAAAAAAAAAAAAATCAAGTGTTTAAATCTGATTCAGACTGGAAACCCAGACTGAAATGGCTTGTCCAGTTAAGAAGATCAAACTAAACGAGACAGTATATGGTTCTCTCTTTGTCTACAGAGTCTAAGAATCAAAAGAATTAGTCTATTCTGGTTTAGTCTCATTCCGATCTCAGTTCATAACTAAACAATTAAAAATCTTAAATATATATGTTAAAAGAATTAAAATATATATATATATATACATGTATATAAGTGTGTGCATTACATGTCTGGAGAGAATTGCTGGGAGAACCGAGGCTGTAATAAAATTATTTTTTATTTTTAATTAAAATAGAAAAAATAATAATAATTTATTTAATCTGGACCGAACTAGACCCATTTTTTATTTGGGTCTGGTCTTAGTCGAATTTCGGACCGTTACATAGCCCCTAGACATGAGTATTGTATTAGTCCATGTGGCCAAACAGTCCCCACAAAATGAGTTCATAAAACATCTGTAGCCAAACAGTCCCCACAAAAAATACTAAAAGCACCCAAAAGTGGTAGACGGTGACGGAAAAAACAACGGCCAGGATTGGTTAGGTAGAGGGAAGGGACAAAACGGGTAAACAGACCAGGAACTAACGGTGTATATTCGCTACGCAGGAAGAAAAAAAAATAAGCTTAGTTGTACGGAGGGAGTGATTCATTCAATGCTCAGTGGCGGAGAAAACGAAATCTGCCAAACAAATCCTTCACCCAAAAGCTCTTTTCGCTCACGTTTTCCTCTTTTATAACAAGAACAAGTATAATAATCCTCCCTTAGCCAATAAACAGACGCAAAATCGCTTCTTTCTGCCACCCATTTTGTTAAATCGAGAGATCTCTCAAGGTTCGTCATCTAACAATCTGAAATCTGGTCTTGATTGCTTCTTCGGTTTACGTTTCTTGTTGTTTTTAAGATCTTCTCGCCGATATGGGGTTTTTGTTTTGTTTTGTTTTCGTGGGAATGAATTCATCTGGGTGTTAGCTTTAGATCTGTGGATTTTGGTTTCATTTCATTGTTTTGTGATATTTTTTGTAATTCTCCTTATTCGACTGATAGATTACCTGAGATTTTCTTATTTATTTTTCTGAATCTTCTTGAATCTGTTTGCTTCTTTTATTGGGTATTTGGTTTAATGGTATGCATTTGGATGTGTTTTATTTGCTTCTGGGTAAAAAAATGAGTTCATTTCTTTAACTGAGAGAATGTTTTCGTTTTAAGGAGAAATAATTTTGTTATATGATTAAAGCAGCATATCTTTAATGCTTTACTCTGATTGTCAGATAAGAAGAAAATAACCCCACAGATTACCTGTAATTATTTTGTTAGCTTGACTGAAAGTTGTGAGAGATTGAATCTTCTATAATTTTTGAAGAGTGTAAAATTAACCACTAAAACAGGCTAGATTCTTTTTCTTCTTTCGCGGTTGAAACCATGTGCAACTGAGTATTGCTCTCCATAGAAAAGTTATCCCTTAAATTTTGCAATTCTCTTGTATATGAGCTATGTCTTTAAGTTTGAATGGTTGATGTTTAAGAAGAATCCTAAGATTAAGTCTGCGTTGTTGGTGGCTATGGACATGCATCTTAAATATATGCTTGGTGGTGTTACTTTTAAATTTTATTCGTTCTTAAGATTTTCTGTTTGTGTTTCTGATAAAGCCCTTGCATCTTTATCTTTTATCAGAGTAGGATGGCAGCAACATCAGCCACTACCTTTTCAATTGGATCAACTGCCTCTTTTGGCAGTAGAGTGAGATTACAGGCGCAATCTAAGCCAGCTGGTGTTAGGTTTAATGCCCCTGTACTCTCTAGTTTCAATGGTCTTAAGGCAGCAGCATCTTTGAGCTGTGAATCAGAGTCATCCTTCTTAGGAAGGGAAAGCACTGCAGCTCTTCGAAGCTCTTTTGCACCAAAAGTGAAAAAATCAGAACAGAGGTCTCAGTATGGCCTACAAACCCAGGCATCTTACAAAGTGGCAGTTCTGGGTGCTGCTGGAGGTATTGGTCAACCCTTGGCACTTCTAATCAAGATGTCCCCGTTGGTTTCTGCCCTACACCTCTATGATATAGCAAATGTCAAGGGAGTTGCTGCTGATCTCAGTCACTGCAACACTCCCTCTCAAGTTCTAGATTTCACTGGTGCTTCTGAATTAGCAAATTGTTTGAAAGGAGTGAATGTGGTTGTCATTCCTGCTGGAGTTCCAAGGAAGCCTGGTATGACCCGTGATGATCTCTTCAACATCAATGCCAACATAGTTAAGAGCTTGGTTGAGGCTGTTGCAGATAACTGCCCTGATGCCTTTATCCACATTATAAGCAATCCGGTGAACTCAACTGTGCCAATTGCTGCAGAAGTTCTTAAGCAGAAAGGTGTTTATGATCCCAAGAAGCTCTTTGGTGTTACCACATTGGATATTGTCAGGGCAAACACATTTGTCGCCCAGAAGAAGAACCTTAAGCTAATTGATGTGGATGTTCCAGTTGTAGGTGGGCATGCAGGGATAACAATTCTACCCCTGCTGTCAAAAACAAAGCCATCAGTGAGTTTCACTGATGAAGAAATTGAAGAGCTAACTGTCAGGATCCAAAATGCTGGGACAGAAGTTGTGGAAGCGAAGGCAGGTGCAGGATCTGCCACACTATCAATGGCATATGCAGCTGCTCGGTTTGTTGAATCATCCCTTCGTGCACTGGATGGAGATGGGGATGTCTATGAATGCACCTTTGTGGAATCAAATCTGACTGAGCTCCCATTCTTTGCTTCAAGGGTTAAACTTGGGAGGAAAGGTGTTGAAGCTTTCATTCACTCTGACCTCCAGGGTTTGACTGAGTACGAGCAAAAGGCAATCGAGGCCCTTAAGCCTGAATTGAAGGCCAGCATCGAAAAGGGAGTTGCCTTCGCCCAAAAACAGACAGTTGCTGCTTAAGATATCGAAGGTAAAAAAACATATCCTTAAGAGGATGATTGACCCAATCTGGTTACTTGATTGTTGGACTTTTTCTTGCATGATTACCTTCAGTTTTGTAGAATGGAAGTTTACTCATTTTCTTTGGAAAGACAATTGAGAACATGAAATTTAGAACCATATTCTGGTGTTGTAGTTGAGAAAAAGAATATGTAATCATTTCTCAGTTTAGAGCCTGTAGCAGTTTGAAAGTTTTGGAATAATGTGACTGGTGCTGCTGGGTGCATCACCTTTATTCAGAACGATGATGTGGTAAACGAATATCAACTTTTACATTTGAAGCTATGCTTGCTCATCCTATCTGGGTGCTAAATCTGACTTGTTTTCAAGATTTTTAGTACTTTCCTCCTCAATGAGGGGTTGTGTTTTTTTTCATTTTTATTTCTGGTTTTTACATTGATCTTGATGTGCTTATATAGATATAAACGTACAAAAAGACCTCATACCAGATTAAATAGTCATGTCTGATTCTATGAATAGGATCTTTTCACCACCTAATTCTGAATATTGATATATTAAATTGATTATTATAATATGGTAGTATAGTTGACTTAATTAACCTAGTATGTATGTATGTATGTATATATATATATATATATATATATATATTGTTGGTGTAGGTGTTCTTTCCTGTGGTAAGAAGGGACAGTTATTGAAACACCCAAGTTTGAGATTTTTTAAGAGTGTGTTTGGCTGCTCTCTTTTTGCTTTTGAAAAATACTTTACAGACAAAATAAAATATATTTTTATTCAAAATTAAAGTAAAATTTTAATTTTAAATAAATTTAAAGAGAAAAGTTAAAATATTAGTTTTCTACTATTATAAGTTAAAATAAAATACACATTCGTATTATTACTATTGTCCGTTGCCGTGGTTACTGTCCAATTAATTTTTTGTTTTATTATATTACTTTACAAATTATAGTTTAAATTAAACTTAACCTTTTATACATATTATACATATTTGTGCATATATACATAAATAATGATGTTATATATAAATATACATGTATATTAAGATTATTGTATAAACAATAATTTAAATTAAATTTTTTTATTAATTTAGTTATTTCATTATGTCCAGTTACTTTAACCGAATATATATAACTTATTTTTTTTCTTATACTTTTTTGAAGTGATTTTATCAATTATTTTAATTAACTACACAATAGTTATTTGTATCAAATATCAATCAACTTATTATAGATATTTTGAATTATTAAAAATATAATATAGTTTTTAACATATATCTTATTAACCAGTCCAAACTTAATGCAATGTGGTATACTAAAATATTTTTTATTTTATTTTCTAAATTTACATGTATTTTATTCACAAAAATATATAAATTAATTAAAAATTAAAAAATAATAGAGAAAATGGTATAGAAGTAGAAATTTTAAATTATTATTTTTAATATTCTCTAAAAATTAATTTTTATGCTTGATTATTCTTAAAATACACAATTCTCATACATTTTATAAATAAAGACATATATATATATAACCCAATATAAATTTAAAGGATTAAAACTAAAAAATATATTTTTATGTACTAAACAGAACTTTATTAGTTTCAAAAAATAAGTCGATCATCACATGTTCCCAATCCTATTTGAAGAATACAAGAAAGTTTCTTCTCACAGGCTACTAAATACTTAAAACTACTTTTAGCTTGGTATGACAAACAGGAATTCATCCATAAAAAGATATGATCTTTAGACCACTAAACACCAACATGATGTTGAGACTACAAATCCAAAAAGAATAAATGAGTAATGCTGTAGCAGCTGCAATCCCATTGCTCTATAATCAGAGGTCTGAAGTTAATCAAGATGATAGACAATATCTATGTCAATTATATGAGCTTTCCAAGCGACAGAATATCAATGAAGTTAAGGTCTGTGGAGAATCATCTCTGCAGGTCACTGGACTGTTTGACAGAGTTTTGAATCTGCATTTCCACTCTTAACAACAAAAAGCTTGTAATGTCTAATATAGCAAGCTAGCAGGTAGCTTACCTGACATGCCAATATGACTAATGATTCAAGGAATCCCATTTGGAATTGAAGAAGCTTCCACCCGGAATTGTTAAGAACGGCAAATGATACTCAAGCCATTCCTACCCACAGAACATTTCTCAATTTGTCCGTGCGTCGTGCATCTGCTGAGCTGCTAATCTGGGTTCTTTCAATATACCTACCAATAGTCGTTACAAGAGCAGTGTCCTTCTTTGAAATGGTGAAACCGAGTACGATCTCTAATAATTACTTCTCGATTATATACAGCTGATAGGATTTTGGTGAAATTATGACAATCAACGCATATGCGCAGATTCTTGGCCACCCTAATTGTTGTGCCAGGTGGAGTTGCAAGAATCCCAAAAGCAATAGCTAATTTCTCACTGTGGTAAGAGAGAGCAAAGCCCTTCTCTTCTGGACTTAAATTGTGCAATTCAGATTTGATTTCAGAAACATAACCAGCAATCTTCAGCTGGTGATTTATCTCATCCAACATCTGATAAATATCATTTTTTCGTGGATGCAAAACATCATCCACAACAAACTCATGCACAACTCCTTTCAACTCAATTGTACTACAGCCAGGTGTGGTCTGCATTCCTTTCTCCTTCATAAACTTCCTCAGTTCTGCCACCATCTCCCAGTTTCCGGTAGAGGAATACATATTCAACAATAAAACATAATCCCCAGCTTCTTGAGCCTTAAGTTCAATCAAATGCTCAACTACCCTTTCCCCAAGGGTAACATGGCCATGAATTCTGCAAGCTCCCAGTAATGTTCTCCATATTGTTGCATCTGGCTTGACCTCCATTGACAATATAAGCTGGTAAGCCCTATCCAACAAACCGGCACGACCCAAAAGATCAACCATGCACCCATAATGCTGTACATTACGCTTTAATCCAAAATCTTTGCTCATTTGATCGAAAAATGCCATTCCCTCGTCAACCAATCCAGAGTGACTACAAGCAGAAAGAACTCCAGTGAAAGTTTGATCATCAGGCAAAACTCTCATCTTCTGCATCTCTCTGAATGCATTGATAGCATCTCTTCCATAACCGTTCATAGCAAAAGTAGAAATCACAGCACTCCATGAAACCACATTCTTCTCTCGCATTCCATTGAACACTCCATAAGCCTTATCCAAACACCCACACCGGGAATACATCGATATAAGTGAGTTACACAAATTAAGTTGATCACCATAGCCATTCTCAAGTATATAACTATGAACACCTTCGCCAAACTCCAATGCACCCAAATTGGCGCAGGTTTGAAGTAGAAGCAAACAAGTAACATCATCCGGTTTACAACTAGAAGATGTGTTTTTCATAGTATCAAACAAGCTTAAGACATCCCGTGTCCGACCATTACGCATGTAACAAGAAATCAACACATTCCAAGCAACAGTATCTCTTTGCGGTATTTCATCAAACACTTTACATGCTTCACCACCCTTCTCACAAATTGAATATAAATCCATCAGAGTAGTGAGCAAAAGACTATCTAATTGGTGCCCATATCCGAAAATCATACCATGAATCTGTTCACCACCAACTAAACAAGAAAACCTCACACAACACTTGAGACCGAACGATGATGATACAGGGTCCGGTGGCAAACCTTTTTGCCTCATTTCTCGGTATAGAAGAAATCCTTCCTCCGGAGAATTACTCATCGAATAAGCTCTAATCAACGTGTTGTACTGAGACACAGATGCGTTTTCTATCTGAGAAAAAACTTTGCGGGAATATCGCAAATCGCGCAGCGGAGAGAGTGAGATTCGGGACAAGAAGTGGAGGGCAACGGTGGGATCCAGAATGAAGGATGTACGAAGGAGGTAGGCGTGGATTTGGAGCAAGCGGGTCTGATGGAAGCATGATTTTATGAGGGAAATCAATTGACTTTGCAGCTTCTGTGTCTGCTTTGGTGTTGGGTCTGCGTGTTGGTGGTCTTGTGATGATTTGCTTACTGGATTCTCGGGACGAAGAAAGGTTTGGGATATGGCTGAGATACTGAAACGAGAAAATGAGAGATTGTGAAGGAGATGGAGATTGTTAGATTGATCAGAGAGACGATGAGTGGTGGAGAAGCGGGAAATTGCTGTCATTTAGGCGGGTTTAGCATTTTGGCGTTGCATGTGATTTGTATTTGTATATTTTCAGTTTAATCTGCCATTTTTTTTTTCTTACAAATTATTGAATTTATAAAATAATTTTAAAATTTATTATTTTTTATATAACTGTAAGAATTTGACAAAAATAACAATTTTTTTTTTCTAGTTTACAATAATTTTATTTTATATGAAATTTGGAGATCATAACAGAAAAAATAACATTAATAAATTAGGAACAATAATTTTTTTATTTTATTTAAATAATTGGAATGATAATAATAAACATACTAGGATATTGTTATGGAAAGTTAGACATTGGCCAACTTTTATGTATATAGTTGTATATGCACCTGAAATTATGTCAGTACCCACAATTGTAAATTAATCATAATATACATTTATAGATAATTGTATATACACCTGAAATTCGTCTGAAAACCGATTTTCAAAGTTATATAAATATATATATACATATATAATGATCATCTTGGAAACCCAAATTGATTTCTAATCATTATAGCTATTTAATAAGCAGTTAAACCAGGTATTTATGACCCTTAATGAATTCCCAATCAATTTTCTAGTCAAGTATATATACATATATATATATATAATACTGAATTATTGAGAATTTAAGATGGGTAATTGTAATTGAACTTGACAGATACTTTGAGCAGCCGTTGTTGAAAAATCTCAATACTGATCAAACATTATACAGTTCTCGAAGCAGACATATCAGAGTCTGTTTACTGGGTAAACTCATCATCAATTCAACTCTAGGCTACCAAGCTATCAAGCTATGGAGAAAAAAAAAAACAACGGACCAAATCATAACATGATGTTTGTAGAGGAGAAAGAGTATTGAGATAAGAGAGAATTGATGAGTTGATCGTCTTCTTCTTGAACATAATGATTGCTAGTAGTTGCAGAAGAAGCAGCCATGGCAGCAGCATGATCATGAGATGAAGTTTTTTTGTTAGTATAAGATGATGATGATGAATCAGACATGGTCATCATCTTTCTCTTCTTGTAATTAACCTTGAAACAAGCTTGTCTTAGCCTCTTTGTCTTGTCTTCCAGTTGCAGATCAGGCACCTCCTCCATCATCTTCCTCTCCCTCTCCAATATCTCTATTGCTTCCCTCAGCTTCCCTTCATTCTCCTCCCCTTTCTTCCCCAGCTCCTGCATCCAATATTTTAAATACATATATACATATACATATGCCCACTTCATCATACTTCCTCAATATAACTTTTTCCACTCAAGCTAATCACCATTCTATAAAAGGTTTGTAGTGATTATGCTTTCCATTTTTTTTTTGTTTATCAAAGAGACAATGTAAGCATAGAATAGGAATAGATTTATGCTAAACCCATATAACTGAAAATGTAAATCTATATGCATTTTTTTTTAGTAACTTCATATTGAATACACATATCAATTACAATACAATTAAAATGATTTATAAACGAGAACACACACATGAACATATCTCAATTCGAACTCTTAACTTAATATTTCTTAGAGAAGAAGTCACATGTCAATTATTCAGCTAAACATAAATTCTTATGTACGTATATATAGGAAGATAGTTACCTGAACGTTCTTGATTAGGGTTTGGAGGCTCATGAGTTTGCGATGAGGCCATCGGCGGATGCCTAACTCTCTACACCTCTTCTTCAGTAGAGTCAAACCTACGTTGAGTTGTTTAGCAGCCTGTGTTATGGGCATGTAAAAGTACTGAGATATCGTCTTCCTCGATAGCATTTTTGAAGTAGAATTACAAGTAGAAGTAGTAGCATTATTGCATCTTTTCACGTTAACCTTCTTCTCTTTCCCCAACTCATCATCTTTATTATCATTTTCTCCATTGTAGCAGATCAACAATGGCTGCTTCTCCGCCTCCACTTCGTTCCAGAATCCACACCCATTTCCATTATAAACAAAGTTCCCTACAACAAAAACCCCCCTTCAATCATAGAGGAAACTCAATAACATGATTATTTATATATAATGAAAGTATATATAGAGTATATGTTATCACCTTCTGGTACGAATAGGTTTTGCTCAATATCAAGTGCGGTATGCAATGAATCGGTAGGCAAATTCCCCGTCAAAGGAAGAGAATCAAAGCAGGTGTTGTCTTGAACTATCGGCATTTCATTTTGCCAATCGAACCATGGATACCCACATGCAATATTACTGCGCATATATATACACATATATATATTAGTTCGATAGAACAGAATCGACAGTATTGAATATCTTTATCCTGTTTTGCAAATATATATATATATATATATACACTTTTGATGTGTATTAATATTACCTGACATCGAATGAATGCAGAAAGGTTGAAGTAGATGAAAATGGGTTTACTTGATTAACTTCTTCTTCAGCCAGAATCTCGTACTTGGGTAAACCTCGGACTGATTGGCGATTAGCCATTTTTGCTTAGAAGTAAAGAGAGAGAGAGAGAGAGAGCAGAACCATCTGTAAATATGTAGAGTGAATAAATGGATGAGATTGAGTTGGCAAAAAATGGAGGAGGAAGAAGAAGCGTTGGAGAAGAAGTAAATGAATCTAACTGAGCATTTAGATTGGAGATCGTGCGCCGCTATTTATTTATTGATTAACGTGTTTATGGGTTTGTGAGAGTTACTGTAACATATCAAGAAGTGGCATTCATTGAATTAATCATGATTATTTTGATAATTAATCCCCGTAATTAATTAAAATTATGCAAAACCTATACTTACATATCTCGGATTTTCTTTATAATTATTATAATATTTTATTAAAGATAGTATATAAATTACAATAATTTAATACATACACATAGTTAGAAAAAATTATGGGGTTTATAAACTTAATGACATGAAAGTTTTATTAATGTATTTATATTTTTTGTAAGCAGTGTATTTGCATATAATATGATATATAATTACTGGTTTGGTTCACGTTTTTCTTATAATTATAATATGGAATATTATTTTTAGTAAATATAAATATATTTATATTTAATAAGAGACACCAAGCGTGGTGTCCGTAGTAATTATGTACATAGGCACTGAAAACTCAGGATATATATCTGTGTATATATATATTTATGAACTGCTGCTCGTTTCACCAAAAGATTTTTAGGTTAATCATCAAGTCACACATCACCTCATTTCTCTCTCTAATTATTTCCCTTAATAACCAGATCTTCTCTCTCTCTCTCTCTATCTACTATATATATATATATGTGTGTGTATGTGTGTGTCTATAGATATATATTCACAGACACACCACCATATTCCATAGGATGAAGACGCATGCAGGTCCATTTTTTGGAAAAAAACAAATTCTGATTTTTTATACTTGAGCATTAAATTGAATATAATTCATACTTGAGCATTAAATTGAATAGATAATCTAATTTTCCCAAAGGATAAAATAAAATGGCTTTCCTAATTCTGTGTCATATATAATATAAAATTAAAATTATTTGACTATAATTTTCATAAAAAAGATTATATAACATATAACGTACTTACAAGTTTACATATTAATAAATAATACGTATGTGAAAAGAATTGATTACAGTCACATTTTTTATGTAATTTGGTTCTGCGAATCATTTAAAAAAATTATTACATAAGCTTTTCTATTTAAAATTTTTTTACTTCATTTTTCAAATTGTGGAGTAAAAAAAGTAATAAATTCTTTAATTTAATTTGGGTTAAAAAC